AAAACTGAGCACGGTCAGTTTGTGAAAAAACTGAGCACGGTCAGTTTGTGAAAAAACTGAGCACGGTCATTTTGTTCACAAAATGCATGAAAACTGCTGAAATCGCCCCACATTGAAGTTTCACACATTTGGTTTGTAAACATTCTGCACTCAGTGCAGAATAATCTATTCCAGGTTTGAATTGTTGTTTTCGTTTTTAAACCGGAGCAGATTAAAGAGGCTCCAGGTGAAAACAGGTGGAATCACACTTTTCTAAAAAAAACTTCCATTTTATCTCGTAAATTTAACAGTTTTTTTTTCTTGTCAATTTCTGACTTTACAAGGAATATTTCAACCTTTAATCATGGAAAATTCTGAGTTTTTTCTCGCAAATTACGACTTCTCAACATAAAAAAGTCCAGTTTTTTTCTCTAAAAGAGTTTTTTGGCAGATTTGCTCCTCTTTTCTTTTTTTATCTGCAAAGTGACCCAAACACACCATCATATTTGTGTTTTTGCTGTCAGCGGTGCAATAATTAGCGATGTCGATGCTCCTGTAACCTTTACGCAGAACATCATTTGAAATAAGTGAAATGTTGCTTTTTAAGCTGAAGTTCTTGATTAAATCAAAAGTGCAAAAATGATAAAAGCTTTCAGTTCAGTCGCAGACAAGCCACGGGGAAAACAAATAATTAAGTGATGAATCTTCAGAGCCATGCTGGGGTTAAATTAAAACTAAAACTGAAGTTTTGAGTTATTTTCTCAGGTACAGAAAATAAAAGTGAATCAGGAGCAAATATTGATAGTTTGATGTTTTGTTGGGTGAATTAAAGTGGTTGTTTTGGTACCTGGACCATGCACAGAAACACAGATTACATCAGATTAAGGAGTTAAAGTCTTTACAGATTAGGAATACGATGTTTYCCAGGAAGCAGGAAGTGACCCGCTCATCGTTCACTTCCTGCTTCACATCACTCGGTGCTCTCCTGTCCCAGCTCCACTTCGTCCTCCCCGAGGAGAGCTCCTGGGACTCCCCCCTCCCCCTGGAACAGCTCCTCCATCAGCTGCTCCCCGGCGCCGCCGGCGCGCGACGCCCACAGGGCGGCGCCCTCGCGCAGGCCGAGCGTGCGCAGCAGCCGCGCGTAGTCCAGGAAGGACGCCTCGATGAGTTTATGTGCAGGCCGAGGTGAAGGAGACATAAAAACAGCCGAAACTGGAGAAATTCACTGAGTGGGAGGAGTCAGTGGTTCCCAAAGTGAGGGGCCCGCCCACTAGAGGGGTCGCAGTGCCAATGCAAGGGGGCGTGGCCAGGGGTGGAGCTAGACTTTTTTTTGTAAAGGGTGGCCATAGTGTCTTTTAGAGGGGCACATACAAATCAAGAAAATTCAAGATGGCCGCCAYGGCTAAATCAAATGGCTTTGCACTAAAAATTATCCTAAAACATTTAAAAAATATGTTCTAAATGCTAATATTGCTAATATCTAAATAGCTACTATTCCGTCACATTTATTCTCTTGCTACTGTTTTGCTACATTTAGCTTTTAGCTACATTTAATTGTGAGCCATCATTTTGTTATATTTACCTTTTACATTTTTGCTAAAAATAACTTTTACCTACTGTKTTGCTTGTTTTTTCTTTTATCTATYATTTTGCTGCRTTTAGCTTTTRGCCACTGTTTAGCTACATTTAGACACAATTTGTAAATCTTAACTCGTCTATGGTATTGCTAATTTTAGCTTTTAACTAATATTTATTGTCTTGCTGCTGTTTTGTACATTTAGCTTTTAGCCACAGTTTATTGTGAGGCTTGTTTAGTTATATTTAGCTTTTACCTTTTTGCTACAAATACCTTTTACCTACTGTTTAGCCTGCTTTATCTACCATTTTGCTGCATTTAGCTTTTAGCCACTGTTTAGCTACATTTAGCCTTTTAGATACAATTTGTTAATCTTAGCTCTTGTCTATGGTCTTGATAATTTTAGCTTTTAACTAATATTTTTGCTACATTTAGCTTAGACCTATGTTCTTTCTATATTTAGCTACAATTTGTTAATCTTAGCTCTTTTCTACAATTTTGCTAATTTTAGCTTTTAGCTATTACTTTCAAAATATTCATCAGTTAACTTCAAAAAGCTGAATTTTAGCCTTTTAAAGACTTATTTATATGAAGTTTGTTGTAGAGTAGCTAAAAATGATCACGTCCACTGTCGATGCTAATCCCAAATTAAGCTAACCGCTAATACTAACTTTATAAAGGACTATAATCCAGACTTTTTCAAACAAACACAGCTGACAGTTACACCGTACCGTATCAGAGAACAATCTTTAAGTGCCAATCAATTAGGTGGCCAATCAAGTGCCACCCCTGGCACTTGATTGGCCACCTCTYTAGCTCCGCCCCTTTCAAATAATGAAAGCACGATGGAAAATGACGGTGCAAAGAAATGAGGAGAAAAGTTGTAATTTTTGATCASCAAAACTTTTTTCTTTCCTTTTTGAACAGAAATGCGTTTTTTTCAATTTACTGAGAGACTTTGAAAATTGTCAGTAAAAAAAMCTTAAAATAATGAGACTATAAAAGGTAATTAGCTTTTTTATGTTATTTAAAAGACGTTTATTTTATTGCAACCTGTAATTTATTTCTAATTMCTTTTATTAGTTCAGTTTCTGTGTGTGAAATAAGCTGCAATGGAGTTTAAAAATTAAATATCTGTCTGGTTGGGGGGTGGCAAAAATAATTTGGGAACCACTTCTTTAAATTATAAATGTGCAAAATACAAATTATGCCTGTTAAAACTTAGAAACATCCCCTGACGGCTCAAAAGAAGAGTGAGTGAAGATTTAAGATACTGTATAAATGTTTAAAAAAAACCTACAAATATTTCACAGAAAACATACTCCCTGGACAGAATATAAAGTTTTAGCTTCTGTGACAAAAACATGCAGCAGTTTTAAAAAGCAGAAGCACGTCTGCAACGGGTTTTTGTGAARAAGGATATTAGAGGAGTCGTTGGCCTCCATCACTCCGTACTTCAGACAGGCCTCGATGAAGAGGGCGGCACGATCGAAGTACCTCATACTGCTCAGGAGAGGAGAAAAGACACGACAGGAGGAGGTTAGAGCCGTTAGCACGACTAAAACTGAAGCTGTGATCATCGTCTTCACCTGTGCAGCATCTCTCCCACTCTGTAGAAGCAGCCGAGGGAGAGCAGCACCAGGATGGCTTTGGACTTCTGGTTGACCTGCGGGGAGCACAGGTGCTCCGCCCAGCGCTTCAGCACRTCGGAGCTCTCTGCTGGGCTCAGGCGCACCTGGAACAGGTGAAAAAAAAACAAAAAGTTTCATCCTCTGAGACCAACAGGAACTGTAGCCTTTAATAAATCAAGCGTCAGCACCAACTGACCAGACAAGCTAAAGCTTCGGCTCCTTCGCAGCCAGCAGCGTGCTGGATGTTACCTGCTGACGGATGCTGTCATGCTACGTTACCTTAGCGAGCCACGCGGCTCGGTTCCACTCCCCGTAGGTCTGCAGGTAGCGGCAGGCGTCTGCTGCCTTGTCGATYAAACACAGAAGCTGAACTCCCTCTGAAACACAGCAGCAGATTTGAACTTCTTCGGCTGTTTGAGAGGCTCAGCCTCCCACAGAAACACTGATTTATTTATGGTTCGGACCCACAGGACCAACGTTACGACATGTTTAATGTAAAACACAAAAGAAAAAGGTGAAACTACAGATTCTTCACACCATTTTAGCTTGTTGCTAATTTTTTATTAGCATTTAGCTAGAATTTTGTTACATGTTACTTTTAGCCACTGTTTAGCTACATTTAGYTTTTAAATACAAATTTGTTCATCTYAYCKTTTTTATGSTCTTGCTAATTTTMGCTATTTTGCTACATTTATTTTTCTTGCTACTGCTTAGCTAAATTTAGCTTTTAGCTACATTTATCTGCAAGCTTTTCTTTTAGCCACTGTTTTGCTATATTAAGCCTTTTATATGCATGCAGTGTTTCTCTTAGCTCTAATCTATGGTCTAATTTTAGCTTTTTACCAATATTTTTACTACATTTATTGTCTTGCTATGGTTTTGCTTCGTTTAGTATTATTTGAAAATTTTACCTACTGTTTAGCTACATTTAGCCTTTAATATGCAATTTGTTAATCTTAGTCCTTTTCTATGATTTAGCAAATTTTAGCTTTTAGCTATTATTTTGCTACATTTMGATTGTACCTACGTTTTAGCCATGTTAAGCTGTTTAGCTACAAATAGTCTTTGATGCGTTTTTTTATTTTAGCTCTTTTCTATGATTTAGCAAATTTTAACTTTTAGCTATAATTTTGTTGTTTAGTTATTTGTTACTGTTTTGCTACATTTAACTGCAGATATTTTGATTAAACTTCTAGAAACTGTTTAGCTACTTTTAATATTTTTAATGGAACATTGTTCATCTTACTTCTTATGAACAGTCTTTTTTAGCTTCTATTTTGCTACATTTATTTTCTTGCTTTTTTTTCAATACATTTAGCTTGTAGCCATGTTTTTTGTWTATTTAGCTTTTAGCTACGATTTTGCTACATTCAGCTGTGAGTCATTTTGTTATATTTAGTTCTGTTATGGTCTAATTATTTATATCTGTTCCTCCTTGACACTGTCCATCACTCGTAGCTTTCTGATAGCTCATTTCGCTCTCTTGTCTGTTTGTCCAGACAACGGGACTCCGCAATGGACTGACCTCTCTTGTTTGATAAGACACTCTTTGAGCTGTGAGCCTTGTGATTGGCTGGACAGTACATTTGGCAATGTGTGATTGGTTGTAAACTGTCACATGGTGTTGACACGATGTATATTATTGGCTGCGTTCTGCTGACGCGTCCAGTAGCAGGCAGGCAGAACCTTCCTGATTCAGTTCTGTTTGTTTGTTGCTCACAATTAAATCATCTTTGATTATCATATATGCAGACTTTTCTGGTATTATTCCAACGTGTTTCTGCTTTTGCGACCACAGAATTTTGGCGTTGTCAATATGGGGCTTCGACGGAGGAGGACGGCCCGCAGCGGCCGAGTGTTTTGTCTCGGGCGTTCACCGGAACGTGGAGGCTGGAGAAGCTGACCTGTTTTTTTGTCTGCTGTTCGTCTCCGGGTTTTGTGAACCTGTCCTCGACCGCTGTGGGTGGTCTTTTGGGTCTGGACGGCGGGCGTTTTTGTTCAAATAAATTTTAAGCTACTGTTTTGCAACTTTATTCTTTCATTTACTGTTTTGCTACATATAGCTTTTAGCTACTTATTTAATATATTTAACTTCTACCTGCTGTTGAGCAACATTTACACTTTTATATGCAATTTGTTAATCTTAGCTCATTTCTACGATTTTGCTAATTTTAGGTCTTTCGCTACATTTTTTTTGCTACTGTTTAGCTACATTTAGCTTTTAGTTCAGCTACATTCAACCTTTTTAATGGAACTTKGTTCATCTTACTACTTTAGCTACATTTTAGCTCTTATTTTAGCTACATTTGCTAGCAGTGAGTGCAGATATTTCAGTAAAAGAGAAAGCAGCTGCTGATCACTGGGACTACCTGCCAGCTTTCCATTAGCGATCATGTTGGTGGCCACGAGCTTGATGGTGGACTGTGAGGGTCCTGATGAGGTGATGGTGGTCACCAGGCAGGCTTTGAGGGAATCACAGTAGTAGCTGGGGTTGTCTGCACTCGTCTCCAGCAGTAACTGCACGGCTCTGTCAGTCTGAGGGGACAGAGAGAGGCAGGGAAGCAGTGAAATGATGCTCATCATGGAGCTTTTCATCAGCTGCACATGAAGACTCAGTCTGAGGCTGAGGTCAGTGTGTCTGAGTGTTGGATGACTGCACCTGCAGCTGATTACAGCTGTGATCACAGCTGTAATTACACACAGAGTGCTGAGAGGACAGAGGAGAGAGGACAGAGGAGAGGACGGTCCCCGCAGGCAGAGACACCGAGGACAGARGCTCACACAGATCATCTGTGGTTGGAACACCGGGTCAGGAAGCCCGGGCTCGTTGGGTTGTTCGTTTGTTTGTTTGTTAAGTTCTAAATAATGAGACTTTAATCATGTGAGGAACAAACAACAACAACAAAACTATTACCTGAAATCTGCAGCGTTGAAGCAGATTTTTACTGGATTTACAAACTAAAGTGTTCAGGTTATTTCT